AAGGGCTACTGTGTCTGCCAAATACCTACAGGACTAAAATACCTCCTCCGTAAGAAGCAATAGAAGCTGAAGAAGCTGCAATCAAAGCTCTGAAGGAGATTGATTGATGGCAATAGGAAATAAAGTGCATTCTGCAACTCTCACGGACCTTATGCAAGCTTTTTTCTGTCCATAGCTAAAGGAATCCAAACGGGCGGTGAACAGCCTGAGGGATATCGTTGATGATGATGATGATGACCTTGAGAGGGTCAGCTGGAGTGGAGAACCCGTGGGAAGTAAGTGCAGAAGTACTGCAAGTTATCTTGAGGCAGGAGGAGTTTAAAATTACCGCTTAAGTCATGTCACGTAGTCAGGTCAGGAGTGTTTCTTGCTATCTAATCCTGCATATCTAATCTGATTCTAGTCTCCCAGGTCATCTTGTGAGCCATTTGATTCACCTGAGAGGATCCACTGAAAAGAGAATGAGCAGAAGTCCAAATTACATAAAGGAGTGCAGACAAGTGGAGGGAATTCACTGTGTTTTTTCTAATATGTAGCCAAGCTTAGAGCAGGTATTCTGGAGGTTATGGCTTGATACTCACGTCAGGCTCGGGTGGCCTGCAAGATTTTAGGGTATCATTTCCTTCACACCACTGCCTGGAATGGCACCATTTAAAGTTCTCTGTGTTTTGGCCCCACAGAGCTTTAAGAAGGCGTTCCAAGGTTTAACGTGTTTATAGAATAACTCATACTTGAGCTTTGAAAGGGAATTGTAAGCATTAAGCAGATATGTTTCTAGTGAGGATGGGAGTGAGCTCATGGCCCACACAAGATGCTGTCTGCTTCACTCTGGAGTTCATGACCCACAGAATATGTGGCCCTTGCTAGCCAGTGCCAAACAATGAAAATTTACATATGGATCACCCAGAGGACCTTCTAAGGGTCTGATCTTGTCCTTTGCTGTAGCTCCTCCGTCTGGTTCAGGCCATTTCGTTTCCCACCCAATGTCTCTACCTACCGGGGTTTTTTTCCCCATCACCCTGATCCTAAAATGTGTGTTGTGCAGCTGTGAAAAGAAGGGGAAACTGTGCCTTGAACAAGCAGGAGGGAGACATATGCATTGTTGCCAGCAGCATATGCACACTGACAGCTGTTTTGTATGTGTGGGGAGGAAAAGTATGCTCTTAGGCTTCTGCAATTTGAGGAAGGCCAGGGATTTTCTGTCTTGCTCTGTACCTTTAGAACAAGGACTATGCTTTACCCCATGCAATAACATAAATGTTGGGTGCTCTATGCATCTTTTTATATAAGCCATAAGCAGCTGTACAACACTGATGGAACCAGCCATTTCTGGAGGACAGCACACAACTGCCTATCAAGCAGTATTATCTGGGTACATAGGTGCACTGCATCTGCTTAGTGCTGGGGGTCAAAGTTACCCAGATGTGCTAGTGTACAACTGACCTGCACACACTTGGTAATGTTCCTGCCGTATGATCTTTCTTTACAGACTGTTTTTCTCTGTTATAAATGACTTCTGTTTGCATTTAGGTATCTCCTGGTCAATCAAAGAGACAGCCTCTGGCAGCACTAGCTCACTGGAGGGCCGAGATTCCAGCCTACAGAAGAGCTCTTCCTCCTCCTCTTCTTTTCCCAAACAAGTTTCTTCCTACTCCCTAAGCAGCCTGTTCAAAGGTGAGGTCCATCACATACCACATGTAACAAATGGGTTTTCCCTCAAGAGTGTCAAAGGGCAATTGTGTTATCTTATGTAAATCATTTTATCTGAAGTATATTGCAAAACAGGGAAGCTCCAATCTCTCCTCAGGGTGGGAGTGTATCTCTCACTGGTCGGAAACTGGAGACTGTCTTGTGCAGAACATCACATGCCCTTCTGGTCTGAGAGGGGCTTTGGAGTTTATGGCTTCTTAAAATTCAGGTTCCCCAGAACAGCATGGTAGAGCACAGCATTACACAGCAATCCATTTGTGTGTTGCTACACACAGAGCAGGCTACAGAGGGACTGGCTTGACCCATGTAGCCTTCATTTGATCTTCAGTACTGCAGAGAAGACAGGTTGACTCTCCTTTGTTTGAAGCTCAGCTGGCTACTGGTGATGTTGGTAGCAGCAGTGGTAGCATAGCTGGTTATGGGGTAACCGCACAACAGGCCATAGGGGAACTTTTACAGTTTGCAGGAGTTCAGCTCTGTTGTCCCACAGCCAGACAACAAAACAGCTTTTACTTCGTCTCTCACTGGGGTGTTTTTTTACTCTCAACTCTGATAATAAAGTGATACTGAAAGGCATCCAAATCACAGCCCTATTGCCATGGTCTAAGCAGTGCTGTGTGCTTGAACCTCTGTTCTGCAGGTAGATGAGTGAATTCAGGCTCTCTAACCTCTCCTGGCCACAGCACTAAGAAGGCAGATAGGGACGAGGTGTGATGAGGTTTGTGATGCCACAGACAACTTTGAAGCCTTAGACTGTAAGCAGGTGAGCCCCAGCTGTGCCAGTGCAGTGGGAATCACTATACAGAGTGGCTCGTTCTACAGTGGCATAGCTGCAGCACACAGGCTTGCAGTCTAGGCTTATGTTCCCTGTGCAAAAGATGTTGTTGATGAAGAGACAGTCTCTCATGAGTGTTTGTTTTTATTTCAGGACGAAACAAACTTCCAAGTTTCCAGTCCCTTTCGGATGGTAAGTTTTGAATCCCTGCCTTGTTCTGGGAGGGGTGCAAATTTACATGAAACAAAGATTTTGCAAAAAATGGGAAGTGTCATCTGCCTTATGATGCAGAAGGGGAAGCTGAATCATGGGTTGTCTTAAAAATTCAGTCATGGATTGTTCTTTCATCAAAGAAATGAAAGAATGATTTGGGGTAATCTGCTAATGTACATCTGGCAGCTGTTGGCTTTCAAGCATTGTTGTATTGCCATTCGGTTCTTAAGTTTGGGTCTTGTACCCTGAAAACTCAGAAAAGAATGGGTTTGGAAGTGGGTGTGAATCAGGATTTTGATGTGCTACTCAGCTGTGCCTTTCCCTCTCAGCCCTCACTGACACAGGAGTTAAAAACTATGCCCCAGAGCTGCGCAGACCGAGAGCTGAGTACAAGGTGAGCAGCCTGTGCTTGTGTGCTGAGATGAGAGAAATCTCCTACTCTATTGGTTTCATGGGAAGCCATTAGTTGCTGTTTCAGACAGCAGAGGGCAATGCAGGGAATAGGACAAGGAGCTGCAAAATGCAGCCTCACAGCAATTTATGTGTTCTCTGCTTTTGCTCAGCAGTAGGGAGCTTCGCTGAGGGTCTTAGTTACTCCTCCTCCTAAGGAATAGTCCAGCAGTCTTTGTGAAAAGGGTTTCTCAGTAGTGCATCATCTGTAAGCTGCTTTCATGCTGAGTCAGGTAAACTGGCATCACCATCACGTGTGCTTTTTACATTTTTCAAGTCTGAAAGTTACTGAGTTTCTTATGAATCACTGAGACAGCACAGAGGTAGCTGAGCAGAGGCAGAGTTCCAGTTGGCAGGAACTTCTGTCTCACAGATAGGCAGTGTTAGGGTTTGGAGAATCTAGTGGATTTTTGGGCTGGGTGGATTCCTCCTACTAGGTATGAGGTTGTAGTTCCATGTCCCTAGGTCCAGCCAGTAACAGGACTGAGCACATATTCCCTAGAGATACAGACATGCACAGTACTAACACAGCTGCCCACATGGATTAACACATGGGCAGAAACCAATGCCTTTATAAACAGACACATACAGAAGACACTCAAGCTTGCTGCTGAGCCTCCCTTCTGTCTGACCAGGATTGAATTCTGCTAGTGGAACATACACACACTCTATGGATCCCTTCAGTAGCTGGTCTTAGACATCTGGTCTGTTTTGTAGCTGAGTCCCAGACCCCATTCTCCTCCAGCTGCTGGCACTTGGACCCTTTTGTCCCTAGGGTTCATGGTCCTATTCTTATTCCTGGTATTCAAACTGCTTATTCTACTCACTGGCTGATTGATCTTGAAATTCACTAGCATTCATGCAGACACATAGACTTGGAATAGAGAGTTCACCCACACAGAAGGTGGTTAAATATAGAATTTAATGAGAATTTAAGACAGACTGCAATGATCCATTGCAAGGTTCAGTCAGACAGACACACTAACTAGCCACTTGTTTAAACTTGGCTGGCACACTATGGCCCCTTTTCCCTCTGTTTTCCCATGCTTGTTCCTGCCCAGTTAATTTTGATTCCTCCTTTCTCTCTTAAAACATCCCAGGATTCTCTTTCCCGTGCATCTCACACTAACTTATGTGCCTCTTTGGGGTTGCATAGTGTATGGAGGTTTTCACACAACAGGTAATGACCTAATCTGTCTCTCTGGATGGTGGCCACGAGTGGCCTAATCAGTATGCTCAGATTGCACTGATTAGGTTACTGAGTTTTCTCCACCTGTCCTTGGCCATCTGATCCTCACCAGGTTGGTGTGTTTATGTTGATTAGCCATTAATCACATAGTCTAACAAACAACACTTCCTGAAAGCACAGGAGGAGAAATGTCTGTCCTGTTGTATTTCTGTTCTGGGCCTGCAGGGGCTGTGAAACAGGAAGGAGAAGGGTTCTACAGCCCCTTAAAAGCTGGCAGGAGTGGTAAGGGGTGGAACAAAGAAGGGAAAATCAGCAGCAGCTTTCAATGAGTGTCCTGACAGTGACAGGCTGAGAGGCTGCCTCTGATCAGAGGTGCTGGAGGGAACCCTGGTGCTCAGGATATTTGACAGTCAACTATACATTGACTTGAGAGACTCATGTGCAGAGGTCCCCTAATAGGACTGGGTCAGACCTTTTATCTTTAAATTGGAGCTTTCAGGGAATTTAAAACTCAGTCCTCAGTTCTGGTTCTGGTTACTTCATTTCTCTGGGTCTTTTGAGGCAGAAGGCTGAATTACAGTCGCTGGCTCGAGTGCCTCACAGAGACCTAGATGCCCTTTTGGAGTCTTGAGTTCAGGAGTGGCTCGGGCCACTGCCTCTTTTTATCCAGTGCTTCCAGATCATGATGTCTACAGGCTCCAGAGGAAAAATTTTGGTCATTGCAGCAGTAGTAGCATATTGCCTTAAGATGGTCTCACTGCAGGCTTCAATGCTCTTGTCACATTGTACTTGTCTTGTCTGACTCTCCAGGCACTTGCCTGAGGCTGTTGTCACTGTGCTCTCCACGCTGCTGTGGAAGGCTCACCAGCAGAAGTCTGTCTGAATTGTAACAAGAAACTGACTGCTTCCCCCTCGGTTTTGGGTTTGTCAGTTTTACATGTATTTTATTTGTCCTTCTGAAAGCAACATTGAATATTTAATTTGCAAGGGCAACCTCTTGAAATGCACTTCTTATAAGGGATACGATGCCTTACTGAGGCAGTAGAAAGGCTGTGTTAACATAGAAGCCTTTAGCTTCCTTCCCCACCAGCATTTGCAGAGACTGAGGGCTCAGCATCTGCGCCTGAACACTGTAGGGACACATCCTACTAACATCTGCCCTGGAGCAGCTGAATGATAAGTGTGAGAAGCATGGGCCACCACTGGTGAAGCACAAGTGGAAAGCAGCTTGGAGACTGCTGACACGATCTAGCCTCGAGGCTTAAGAGCACTTTTTTTCTCTTGTGGCAGGATTACAGCAGTGACTGGAGCCCCAGAGATACAGTCAGGCGAATGCAGAGGGGCAAGGTAAGGACTTTCCACTCCCACCTGCTTGTGATAGATGGAGGGTTGGTGCTCCTAAAGTGCTTTACACTTCCCTGTGCTCCTGGCTCTTCTGAGAGCAGGGAGAGGATCTGTGTTGCTTGCAGCACCTAGCAGGGATGATGCTCTGCCTGTCTGCTGATTTGCCAGGTGGGAGTGCTGGGATCACACTAGCTCAGGAGCAGCAGACCTTCAGGGTTTTGTTGCTTTGTTTACTTGAGTTATCCACTCAGCAAGGTTCTGACAGGAGGTATCTGCACTGCTGTGTACCTCTCTGTCCTTTCTGCTCCTTGGGGATGGGTTTGTTTTGAAAATCTGAGGGTGTGGGGCTTTTTCTCTGTTCTCGGTGGAAAATGGAGGAAGGAAGATGTTTTTGGTTACAGTGGAGCTGGAATCTTAGTCTCAGCTGCCTCAGTGTGCAGTGGGCACACAGTGAGCTTGTGGTTTTACTCTGCATGTGTCTCCTCAATGGCTGAGGTGAACTAAGGGGTAAGAGGCCACAGATGTGGGATAGAGAAGAAGGGAGAAAGAATGTTACAACTTTACTTTTCTGGTCTCCTCTGTGGAAAAGGCACTGCAGAGTTCCCTCTTCCTGTCAGGGCTAGTGGTTTGGGGTGCAGAGGGAAGTTTTGCCTTGTTACAAAGGTGGTTGTGCTGAATGTACATTGTCTGCTGTCCTAGCCTGGGCAGTAATGAGGGCTGACTCTGCAACTGCTGCAGACAGATTTCCAGGGATTATGCAGCATGTGGTTTCAGCTAAATGAGAATTTCTCCACTAGTTGGGAAGGCAGTTATTCATGTTGCTGAAGGGCTCATGGGAGAAGAATAGATAATACCTAGGGGGCTGGTTCAGCATGAGGACTGTCTGATGTCCTATATGCCTGCTTATACCTCTTCTATCTCCAGGTCTGCTCTCTGGAGAGATTTCGCTCCCTGCAGGACAAGCTGGTGCTCTTGGATGAAGCTGTGGCAGGGCATGATGGGAATGTCATTACAGCTGTGAGTCCTGCTGGGACTGTACAGGGCTGGGACTTCTGGGTGACCTCACAGAGGGGGCTCATGAGAATGCAGTCAGTTGGCCACCCAGTCTTGCAAGACTGGGGGACGTTCTTTAGTCGAAACCTATAAGTTACTGAAAAGTGTCAAAGCTTGAGACTGGGAAGTTCCATATTCTTGTTGGCTTTCCTTCCACTCTGCAGAGTTCACTTAGGTTAGTAACAAAGAACCTGATGCATTTAGGTTAATAACAAGGAATCTGGTCAGCCTTACAGATCTTTGCAGTAACTTCTAGAAAACTGAGTTTTACAGCATAGAAGATTTGAGGGGCCTCACCAGTTTTTCTGGCTTCTAAAGCATCAGGCAGCAAATGGGATTGTGTCAGAGCTTCCCTCATCCAGGTCTTTTACTCCCTTAGATCTGCATGGAAAAGTTTTTCTTTGTCAATCTTGGTCTCACTTATCTAAGCTCCAGAGCAGGAGCTTAGACAGGCATCCAGGCACCTGTGGCCCTGGCTCACTGCTTGTCCTGCATCTAGTGGGTACCAGAATTCAGTTCTCTGCTCTAAGACTTGTGTTTTCAGAGGTCCTTTGCAAAAGCTTTGCTGTCTGTCTGTCTTAATTCTGAGCTGCCTGTCTGTGCTCACAGGTCCTGATATTCCTGAAACGGACACTACGGAGAGGTGGGTGTGACTGGGGCCAAGGTTGCTATAGTGTGTGTCAGTTAAGGACAGAGGGGCTAATTCTTTCACTGGGTGCAAGTCGCTGAGAGAGCATCTGAGGTATTGCTGTTTTACTAAGCATGAAATATTTTTGCAGTGAGTGTAATGTGGGAGGGGGAATGGTGATGCCCACAAATGTCCCAGAGAGGAGCTTTAAGCAGTGGTAGGTGGTAGTGGTGATGGGGTGAACAAAAATGTATCCATACAGGTAGCACACTGCTGTGAGTTCAGTGGGCAGCCCAGGGAACGGGCTGTGCTCTAGCCTCCAAGACTGTGATTTGAGGTGGGATAAGGTTGTTGAATCCTGCCAGTGGCTTGCAACTCCATGCACTGTGTTTAGTCCCCTCTGGCTTGGTAGTGCTAACTTGCTTTACCCACCTGTACATAATCTCTCTCCCCTGTAGAGATCTTGTTTCGAGAGCTGGAGGTGCGGCAGGTGGCCTTGTGTCATCTGATCCATTTCCTCAAGGAGACGGGGGAGCAGAAGTTTCTTCTGGATCTGCTCAGGTGAAGCTCTTGACCTGTCTTGTGGCAGGGCTGAGCACACTGCTAGAAACCTGCCTCCAGGTTCATGCTTGCCCATTCCCTTTTGCAGGTTCCTAGACAGAACTGAGGAAGTTGCTGTGAGTATTCCCCGGAGCATAAGCTGGCACCCCTGTTATACCCTCTGGAATCCTGTATCCCAAATCCATGAGAACAGATCGCTTATTTTCACTCTCCCTCCAGCTGTCCCAGTACCGTGAGCATTTGAACATCCAGGATGTAGAAAAGAGGAGAGAATTTCTGAAAGGCTGCATTGGGTAAGAAAAAAGACAAGAGGGTGGGAGGGATGTGGGTGCTTCACAGAAGGTGGTAGTAAAGAAAATTCGCCCTCTGTCCCAGTGCCACAGCCTGTGTAGTTTAAGAGCTAGTGTTGGTTTTGCCTGTGTGGGAGTGGGGTGTTGTGGACACAATGTAGACCAGAGAGGAAGCATTTGATTCAAGGGACTTTCTGATCATTGACCCTTCAGGTTGTGAAGGATGAAAGTTTGTGTGCCTGAGCACTTGAGGAAGTTGGTAGCATCCATTTTAGGTTGTTCTGTGCCACATGTTTCTTTCTCTGGAGTCTGTCAAGGTGAGAGCCAGTTGAAGAGGGCAGCAGGACAGGAACTTGAGTACCCACTGGTGACTCAGGCTGGGGAGAGTAGGAGCTGTTCCCCAGATCTCTGTCTATGGAGAGCTTGTTTGGTAGAGAAGAGTGTCCTACTGAGTGTACTTTGTTAAGAGCTAGTGACAGTGTCTCCTTCCTTCGTGTCTGGCCAGGCTGCCGTTTTCCGCTGAGGATACATCCCACATCCAAGACCATTATACCCTGTTGGAGCGACAGATCATCATTGAGGTATAAAATCTTCTCTGCTGGTCAGAAGATGACTGGGACTACCTGTGAGATCTCATTCTGTCCCTTACTTATACCACATTGGATCTAAGCAGCCTGCCCTGGCTAGTGGAGTTTTAACTGCTCTCCAAGCTGCTATGCCAGGCACACGTGAAATACTAGATCTGAGACTTTATAGCATGTTGAGGCTGTGCTTGTGAGTTGCTGTCAACACTCTCCCCAGGTCTCCACCCTGCAGTTAAACAGGCAGTTACCCTGGCTCATCTTCACCCTGCCTGTCTTCCTGATTCCACAGGCTAATGATCGGCACTTGGAGTCATCTGGGCAGTCAGAGATATTTCGGAAATATCCTCGTAAGGCTTCAATTCTCAATATGCCACTAGTGACCACTCTCTTCTATTCTTGTTTCTACCACTACACAGAGGCTGAGGTGAGGATGATGTGGGAGAAGACAAGGGTTACATCTCATTCTTGTAGCCCTCAACATTTGGGGTGGTCAAGCTGGGGCATGTTAAGGGAAGAAAGGGAGAGAGGTCATATTTCACACCTCAGAAAGACCAGTGTGGAGTTGTGTTTTGTGCTCTGAGATGAGACATTCAACCTGAGACAGCTTGGCAGGGAATTGCCTCCTAGAAACCACTGTCTTTTACATTTGGCTTCAAGGAGCCAGAGATGGCCCTAAATCCTGTGACCTGAGGTATGTGGTACTGGTCCTGGAAGTCCTGGAGGCACACCAGTAAGGATGCAGGGAAACCAAACCAGAGAGTTGATGGGGTGGGATAGTTGCTCTCTTCTGCCAGCTGTTTCCTCCTGTGACACTGACATGAGCAAAAAGCAGTAAAATCTTGGGAAGATTCACCCTCTGTGAGGCAGATGCCTTACAACAGGTGTCTGAACCTCTCCCATGGCCTGCTCTGCTGAGTTTGCACTGACTTGTCTGCTTTCTCTAGGGAACATTCAGCAGCCCCACCAACCTGAAGAAAACATTTAAGGTGCGTGAGTCTTCCCCTATTGCAGCAGCAGTAGCTGAAAACATGCCCAGCCAGATTGTATGTAGTGAGGGGGCTCAGTAGGAGGAATTTGAGGGGCTCAGCACTGAGATAGGGAGGGGAGGCATGGCATCCTTCTTGGGCAGGGCCTTTCTGAAGGCTCAGGAAGGCAAATGGAGTCACGTGGAGACTTTCAGTGGGTGCACCCTGTCTGCAGCAGCACTTGCAAATCCCCACTTCCTACTCCACAGTGCTGTCCGTGGCCTCAGGCAGCATCTTGCCTCCTTGCCTGGCTGTTGGTGTGGATTCTGACAGGGCTGGGGCAGATGCCATTCATGTTCAACCCCCACAGGCCTTCTGAGCTGTGCTGGTGTTCTGACTCCAGCTTTCTGCCTTGCAGATTCCTGATAAGCAGTATGTGCTGACTGCCCTGGCTGCCCGTGCCAAGCTGCGAGCCTGGGATGATGTGGATGCCCTCTTCACTACCAAGGTGAGCTATGGAAAGCCTTGCTGGGCACCCAGTTCCAAGTACTGATATCTGCTGCTGATAGCTGGCTTGTTCTGGAGTTACTGGACAGACTGGTTTTATTTTAGCAGGGCCCAGTACCTCTGCTGCAAGGTGTTGCAATACCTTCCTCCTCTTCCTGCCTAAGACCTCTGCTGGGCCTGGCTTGGCTACAGCAACAAGGTCAGAGAGGGGGGCTGCCCTTGAGCTCTGTTAACAAAGGGTTTGCAGCCAGCCTGTGCCCAGCCCCTGCATGAAGGGCTCTGCCAGGGGGTGCGTGTGGTGGCTGGTGGAGTATGTTGCTGGCACTGGTAAAAAAACCATTTTCTTCTGTCTGCAGGGATTGCCCTTTTGGTTTAACATAGGTTTGATTCTCATTTCAGAACTGGCTGGGCTACACCAAGAAGAAGGCACCTATTGGCTTCCACCGGGTGGTGGAGATCTTGCAGAGGAACAATGCTCCTGTGCAGGTGAGCGAGCAACCACTGGTTATGTCCTCCTGCTCATTTTTGGGATTTGGTGTGTGAACGACTTTCCAAGTGAGCCTAGCCGGGAGTGGGAGAACAGCTTTGCCAAGCTTCTGCCTCTTCCAGGTGAGCACAGCTGAGTGACCCATGCATCAACAGGAAGTGGTGGTAGTGAGGGCTGAGTCCCAGGTCTGACTGCAAGAGAGACAGCAGGCCTAGAGTTGACTGGGAACTCTCTCCCCGTGTGCATTGCCACCTTTCTTTACGGCATTACATTTTCTCTTGCTTAATCTGAAAGGCAATGGTTACCATCATCCATAGGAACAAGGTAGCGTAGGACTTTGAGCTTTTTAAGCAAAGCTTTACTGCCTCTAGGGTTCTGAGCAGTATTGTCCAAGTCACTTGGACAATAGGAAGGAAGGGGTCAAGTCCGTGTGACCAGCAGCCTTGATTTTGGGACTGGGGTGAGAGAACAAGGCAGGAGGTATCTGCAGAAGGTAGCTGAGACATTCTTGCATCTCTTGCAGGTGCTGCAAGAGTATGTGCGCCTGGTGGAGGATGTGGAGACACGTTTGAACCTCGCTACCAAATACAAGTGTCATGATGTTGTCATTGAGGTAGGTCCCTGCTGTGTGTGTGAAGAGATGGGACATGAGTCTGCTTTTTCTCTCTAGTTTTTCTGTGCTCTGCCACATGTCACTGTTGTCATGTGCCTGGTGGGGTTTGTTTATCCCTGTGGCCTGGGAACAGTGATATGGTTCCTAGTGGAACTCCAGTGAGCCAGGAGAGTGGCTCCAAGCATTTGTGCTCTGAAATTGTTCTGTGGTGGGAACTTGGAAGAGGAATTGCAGAGTTGCCCTGCTCATCTACAGGGCAGCATCTAACTGTGGAAGTGTCCTGTTCACTCAGCTGGGTGCTGGTTTTGCTGTTTATGTAGACCTACAGGGATCTAAAGGATCGTATCCAGCTGACAGCATATAAATGCAAGGTGGAGCGGGGCTCTGCAGAAGAAGAGAAGATAAACAGCATTCTCAACAACATGGTAAGAAATGCTTACTTTTTCTTTCAGAGACTCTTATCAGAAACAGGTGTGAATTAGGTGGAAGGACCCAGCTGTCCTTGCATACTTTTTATCCTTGCTCGGAAGCTAATCTTATGTTTGGGGTTGCATTCAGGGTAAGAATGAAAGGTGAAACTGATAGAAATGGCACCTTCTGGCCATAGCTGTCCTTGCAGGGATTGGGAGTCACTAACGTGGCCGCTAAGGGATCTGTGTTCAGCATTGCTCTTAGTCATGTCCCATTCTCTCTTCTAGCAAATCCGGTGGAAGAACTGAGCACATGTGAAGCAGCCTGCTTGGACCTTGTCAGTGAAAGAGGAAACTGCAAAACCCAGTCCAGTGCCAACAGAGCAACTGTTACTCCTCATTGCATGGTCAGCGTTCGTCAGTGACAGTGGGTGCCCATGGCTTGTGGGACAGTGGCATTCAGGCTGGTTGAAGGCAGCTACTCCAATGTAGCCAACGAAATCATGGTACTGATCCATCAGGGTTGATTCTTTTTGGAATGTGATTGACTTGTCTGTAAGCCAGACATCCCTTTTGTTTATGGAGGGAAGTCGCTGGGCACAGCAAGGTTATGTTTGCGCTGGGTGGTCCCTTGCCTTATTCTTGCAAGAGGAACAGGTCATTCACACTCGTGGGTCTCTCCACCAGACAGTCCTGACCAGTCCCTGTAACACTCAAGCTGGCTTGGGCATCACTAGTCATGGCTGTGGCTGGAGTAAAGCCTACTGGAGCGTGATCTCCCTGCATCAAAGTGTTGGGGGAAAGGACCAGCTGCACCTTAAAGCTCACTTTTTGTTGTTGGTTTGTTCTGCCTAACCCTAAGAAAAGAGGTGTGTGAACTCCTGCAGAGAGCCAGGACAGCAGACTCTGCCATTATCTTTCTGCTGCCACTCTGCAGCACTTGGAAGATCTCTTTATCAGGGAAAGACAGGCACCTAGTGTGGAACTGGTCAGAGTCCTGATGGGTTGGATGGAGAGCAAGCAGGGCCCCCTCTCAGTTGACACAAACCTGCTGGCCCCAACAGCTCTTTTCTTTGAGTGTGTTACACCAGGAAGGATTGAACTGCACTTTCTCAGAAACACAACTCCTCAGGCAACTCCTAGCTTCATCCTTCCAGACCTCACTTCAAGTCCTTAAATAAAGCTGTCTCTTTCTCCTCGGGCTGTTTGTTTCTTTCCCACACTAAGCACATTGTCACTCTGTGTGCTAATCCTGAGTGATTTATCACACCTCCCACAAAGTGAGTATGCAGGGTGTTTTCTAATGTTCTGAAAAAGCACAATGCCTGTCCCCACAGAGTGACTTTGTTTGCAGCAGTATCTTATTTCACATCTTCAATGCCACCAGCATGGATGAATTCATTTTAGTTTTGTAGGAGAGTTTGCTGCTGTGAGGGTGTCACACAACCATGAGGGGTAGGAGTTGTAGCAGACAAGCTTCTCCCTGGACTCTGAATGCCCAGCCAGGAGAGGAGATCGTCCTGCAATTTTACAGCGACTGCTTCCACACGAACTGTCAACTGCCCCATAAACTCTTAGATAAAACAAGACAAGTGGGGAGAATGGTCCTCCAGGGAGATGCTTGAAACAATAAAAACCTACTTTTAATCATCTCAGGGCAGGGAGGAAACAGGGATTATTAAATAGCTTTTTATAGATCTTGAAAACTAGCCAGATCCCATGGCTCAGCTGTTTCAGCTAAAGGCTTTAAATCAGCCTGCATGAATTGGGCCAGGCAGCTGAGCTCCCTGCATGTTTAGTCCTGGCAGAGAGGCTGCATGCTTGTGTCACTCTGCTGCTGCCCTTTGCCACACAGGAAGAGTGGTGGGCAGCCACCAAAGTCCCTGTGTACCACTTTGGGTAAGCAGACAGTGATCCCAACCTGGGAGCAGTGGTTTGTGTTTCACCTGCATGTGGCAGGCACTGTTTGGTCACCTCTGCTGTCCCTGTGGGCTCAAGTCCCTTTCTCCTTGTTCATTGCAGCAGACCAGGGGCTCATGTGATTTTACAACAACTTTCAGCTGGTGCCCTGTGTGGATATTGTGTTCCTCTGCTGTCTCCCATCACACTTGCTGTCCATCTGCTCCATTGTTTGTCCTGTCATCCAGAAATCCTGCACTGTGCAGCTTTGACATCACCATCCCTCTCCTCAGATAAAGTGGACCATATAATTTCAGAGCCTGGACGTGCTGCTGTTGTTTGGGACCTCACAGGGCAAACGCAGTGTGTGTGCGCTCTGGCTGAACTGAAGCTGTGTGGGAGCACAGCTCTTACTGCCCCTCAGAGCATTATTGTGAAGCCATTGCAAACTTTGCCATGGTTGGTCACTTCCCCAACACCCCAGCTGCTGAAGTCATGGGAACACTTTAGAGTTTCAGCTTTCTGTTTGTCCAGAGGAAGTTTGAGACTTTGTGGCTATAAACCTGAAAACGTGATCAAAAGGAGTCAAGGAAGCTCCAGACCAGACACAATGCTGGCACTGGAACCCTGCTCCTGCCAGGGTCTCAGGTTCTCACTGCAAGATAGCCTGTTGTGAGACAGCACAGGAAACAAGGTACAAAAAAGCGGCCTGTAGTTTCTGTGGTCAGAAAAGCAAACACAGTGCATTATGTTTCACTTTCAGCTGCTGCCATAGTTCTCCTGAGGGCTCTGAGTACAGGGGTATGACCTGTACCCCTTGTTCCTGACACCTCGGGGTGCCTAGTCCCCATGGGCAGGCCAGGCCAGTCCAGTCCTGTCCTTCTGCTGAGGTGATCAGTGAGGGGCCAAATGTGATGCTATGGGCGAGGTTGTTTACTAGCAAAAGGTTTGTAGATCCTGCAAAGGATAACTGCTTCCTCCTCCTTACCAGCTAAACCTAGTTTATTCCCCATCAGCCAAACCTGAGAGAAGCAGCTGTTGATTGCAGGGCAAACAAGAAGTGAGGATTAAGCTAGAGAGAGGAGGAGAGGAAAAGATAGGTGAGAACTTGCTTGAGGGAATTCGCCCGCAGTGGGGAAAGTCCTGGACTCTGAAACATTTCTGTGCCATTGCAGTTGTGGTATGACTTACGTGCACTGGGGAAGAAAGTGCAAGGGATGATTTTTACACTCCCTCCTTTTCAAACAGACATGGCAAAATTATCAGTCCTACTGTGGCCATCTCCCCACTGGCAGTGTTATGGCCACGGATTAACTCACACAAGGCAGTGAAGGTCCATCAAATAGGAAGAAGTTTTCTAGCTAATTAAGACAGCTATTGGAAAGAAGTTAGAAGAAATGTTAATGGGATGAATCCCAGCAGCCGTTGACTCAGCCATGGATGGTGCAGTGGGCTTTCTGAGCAAGAACATGGTCCAAATTCCTTTTGGCTTCCCTCAGGTACAACTTCTATTTCCATGGATGTGCTGTTCCTTTTGCCGACTGCTACCTCTGCTCGTTGCAATTTCATTATACACTTCTGCATTGTAATTATTGGGTTGCTGAGTGCTCTGAAAGCAGCTCCCAGTGCTCACTGTGCCATGATGGCCAGACAGTCACATGATTTTATATGCAGCCTGTGCAGGACTCCTGTTTACTCAGCAATAATGAGCTACAGAAGATACAAGCTATACTAGACTTGTTACTATTAATTTCAGCATCCCTCACCTAAAATGATCCTAGATCAGAGGTTTCAAACCAAACAGTTCTGATTGATTGTCAATGCAATTCTTCACAGGGGTGGGAAATAACAATATCTCTTCACATCTGTGTGCACACTGGTAATTGACATTTGATTTTGTTCATCCTGCAAGGAAAATAAAAATCGGTGCTGAATGGCTTGTGGCCATCTTCTAGGCAGCCCTGAACAGCAGCATGTGGCAAAGCCTCACCAGAAGGCACTGAAATTACTCAGTGACTTCAGTTTTTGTGAATGCTGCCCCATCTGTGCTGAGCAGAAACCTTCCTGCCCAGGTTTGTGTGCCGGAGCTTCGTTAGCAAAGGTTTTTGCCTCTTCAGTGACTCAAGAGGAGAAAGTAAAGGGTTGAATGCTGAACTGCTTGTCCAGGCTTGTCCTCTGTCATCACACCTATAAACCACTGACTGTATCTGCCCTTTATCTTACATCTGGGCTTCAGAGCAAACGCAGCCTGCAGACACCAAAGCCTGGGAGAAATCTATTCACTTGAGCATCTGGGAAATTGTTATCAATCACTTGTAGTTAAAATATATCTATCATTGGGTTTTTGGTCTTTTTAATCAACTGTGAAGCAGAAGCGAAGGACAGACAGTGGTACAGTCCGATTTATAGCTTGCACTTCTCTTGGTCCCTGTAAGCAAATGAAGGATTCCAGAAAAGAGCCAATATGGGGATGTGTTTGCTGTCATCAAATGTCAAATGCAGCTCTTAGCTGCAATGGCCTTCCCTATAACCAGAAAAAGGTGGAGCTGTACCTTCTTGGACTATCTGCAAGGTTGCTGTTGCTGTTGAGCTTCTTACAAAGGCAGAAGTGCCATGTGAGTTTCTAGTTCTGCCTCTGGGTGCCCCTGGAGAGCATCCACTTCCATGCCAGTCTGGGATTGCTGCAAAGGAGGATTTGTACTATAGGGCTCCAATCCTGCTTCTTGTATGAACTGTGAGAAAGTGAGGGCATCTGCTTTCTTTCCTGATCGGGACTTCCTCTCTAGGAAGAGCCCCATGTTGTCTCTGTATGGGAGGGCAATGGATCTGTTGAAGAGAGGCTCCTCAATCCCCAGCAACTCTCGTATGTGGCGTGAGATTTCCTGAAATGCAAGACAAAATGCCAGAAATTCTCATTTCACAGGGCAACAGCTAATACCATTTATTCTGTGCCAGAGCAGCAGCAAAAAGAACTGAATTTCTGAAGTTTGGAACAGTTTTACACTTGAAGTTGTAACACAAGAGGGATCTGAACTTGTAAGCCCCATGTGACATTGTAAAAGCAGAGCAGACCACTTACTTTCCAGATTTACTGCGGGTAATGGCACCACATCTGGTCTCTTGTGTCATAAATAGCCCTGCTTTCCTCTTTGCTCTTGAAGAACAAACAACTTAGGAGTGAATGAGCTTCAATCTATTCTGCTTAACTCAAAATCATTGTGTTTTAGTTATAATGTCAACAACAGAGTCTATACACAGGTGCAAAAACTAATTAGCAGTAAGTCATATTGCTCATTAAGAAAATGATAAGCGACTATCTGAACCAGCTGGACCTGGAACTGTCAGTGAACAGAGCCTTGCCATTATTCTTGAAGTCACTTCTGAGAATGTAACAAATCATTCCATAATGATTTGATTGAAGCTCCAAAATACAATTCACAAGGTTTTACTTGTCTTCCACAGGATTTGCTCAAAACCTTCCCCCAGCCTTGGCTTGAGTCTGAAGAGCAGTGCCCTGCTCCATGTGACAACAAAAGAACACCAGACTGGTATTTTCAGTGGTTTTGATGTTTTAAGATTCCAGTACAGTGGGATTAAAACCAGCAGCCACT